TGTTAATAGTAAAAGTATTTCAATAACTATTCAATTTTAATATAATTTAATATATAATTACTTTTAAAGGATATAAAATAGCCTGTAAAATTTTAGTATATATTATTATGTAAAATATTTCAAAATATCAATTAGTATTTTACATATCAACTAAATTATCTGCATTTTGTGTAACAGTATATTTATTCAATAATTCTATAAATAACATATTCTCAAATTTTACATACTGTTTTATAATCAATTAAAATGATTATACTTTAAATTTTATTAAAATTAAATAATTATTGAAATATTTTTACTATAAATAACTTTTAAAAATTAGTCAAATTATAAAATTTGTTAAATATCGTAAATATTTAAAATATTATTTTATTAAAACATGTAATTTGCAATTAAAATTGTATTTATACAAAAAAATTAGCAAATATTTATATAAATTTTATAAGTTTAATATTGGCTAATTTTTACTAAAATTGTAAATTTAAATTTACCATAAATTTTATTAAGAAAATTACTTTTTATTTATTAAGTAAACTGATTCCTCATAAAAATTTACATATATTTATATATTTAAAAGTAATATTTACCTTTTACCAATAAATTGCATCTGGAGGTTGAAACTATAAAAGTTAGCTTAATATAAATTTTTTATATAGGTATTGTATTAAAAAAAAAAGTGTTTAAATAAGTAAAAAAGTTCCTAAAGAATAAAAATATATAAAGTTTTTATAATATATAACTTAAGAAAATTTATATTAATATAAATATAAAAATTACTATTTATTAGTAATTATAAGACACTCCTAAAAAACATGATATGACCACTGACTGTTATAGTTTAAACTATTACTAATTAAAGTTTAGACTTTTATCAAAAGTTAAAATGAGTTTAGCCAAGCAATCTTGGGATTTTTAATACAAAATTAATTTGCACATGGATTCTAGTTTATCCACATTAAGATTTAAGCGACGTTTATGAAATAGTCATCCTAAAGTTGAAAATCCATGTTTACAAGTTGCTGAGTTAGGACATATTGCAAATAGATAACTTGCAATTCTTGGCAGGACATCTGGTTCTGGTTCGGTATTAATATATTTCTACCAATTCACGGGATTATCTTTAGCAAAACCGATATCTAGGTAAATGGTTCTTGCTCATTAATATATTTCTGTATTTGATCACATAAAGTTTCAGCTTTGTAACGGTTGAAACCTAAATTTTTTCCGATTGAAGCTGCACATTTGATAATTCTCATGAGGGCGCATTTTTTAAGTGGCGCGTTTCTAAATCTGAGATCCATAAAAAAACAAGTAATATACTTATCATCATCGAACTCATCAAATCTTTCATTTATTACTTTGATACAATGACTTCGGAATGCAGGATTTAATGATTTGGGTAACTTTTTTAATGTAGCTGCAAGTCTTACCAAGCTCAGGAAACAATCTGCAAGTGTAGCTCTTCTCAATTCTAATGAAAGTACTGCTTTTCTTAGAGGATCCAGAACAAATCCAAGAACTCGTAAATTTGAAAAAAATTTCTTGATTGAATAATTAGTTTTATTTTGTCATTTGTTAGCATTTTATCGGGATCGCTGACCATTTCTTCTAGTGCTGATTCCAAATTTATTACTGAATTTACAGATTCACTAGCAGTAGTCCAGCATGTCTTGCAATATAATTTTAATCCTCCTCCACTAATTCCTTTTTCTTTAATTATTTGAGCAAGTTTTGCATTAGCCTGATGAGAACTTCTAAAAAAGGTTGTCAAAATATTAACATGTTTTAATAAACGTTTCCCAAACTTCTTCTTAACGATGTCGCATGCAATTAAATTGATAGAATGTGCATTCTCAATTGTTGGATGATTCTCATGTATAATTTTTCATGCATTATGAACATTGGCCGCATTATCAGAAACTACAGCACATATTCGATTTTTTCTAATACCTTCTATAACCTTTTCAATTACTGTAACTAAATATTATGCAGTGTGCGAATTTTCAGACAAATCAGAAAGTTGATAAAGATATTCTTTACGCAATGGAGTCATTACAATGAAGTTTCAAATTGAACGATGTGTACCAGACGTCCAACCATCAAAGACTAAATTATAAATTAATATTATATAGTAAGTAAGATTAAATAAAAATCATGTATGATAGCCTATTTAATTTAACAAACCTAACGTTAAATTCGTTTTCTTTTCAAGCTCAGAATTAACTTTGAAGTTCACTTGAGCTAATTCACGTTCAAGTAGTTGATTTACTAATACTTCCCTTGTTGGTATATTGTACCTGGCATTAAGCTCTTTTATAAAATTGATGAAAAAGGAATGTTCCACTATTCTAAATGCAATTCTGCATGCAATAAAAAATTTAACTAATGCACGATTAATTCGTGTACATCTTTGTTCGTTAAGCTCTGTTGAATCATGGTAATCATCCATGTTACTTTGATTTTCAGAGTATTTTCTTTTTTTGGATGACTTGGACTTATCTTGCTGTTCCATTACTTTAGTTATATACCTTCTAACAACTGCTGCTGGCGCATCTGAAAGGACCCCGAACAATATATATATAAGTCAGATAAAAAATTCAAAATTTACTAAGGTCAATAAGCAAATATTTTTCATGTCTGCTAAGCAAACTTTTATCTAACTCATAAATTTTTTACACTGCTAAGCAATTTATTTTATGACATATATATATTTATATATAATTTTTTTTATAAAATATGTATATAAAAAAAACTAAAAAAACAAAAATTTTTGAAATAATGTATAGATAAAGCTATTATTATTTTTTTGTAATATTACAACTTATAAATGTTTCTTATTAATATTTCGTATATCTGTTCTGTGACTTCAGAGCGTAATTT